ACGAGCCAATTGTCCAGTTGTCCAGCCATCCTGCTATCCAGCCATCCAGCGTGCCTGTTGGGCCCTGTCACATTTATCACAAATTCAATGAATAATAATTTTTGCACGCTGTGTGATGTGACGTGCTAATGTTATCTGATTGGAATCGTTGATGAAGGCTGCAGCAGCAGGAAGCCGGCTGGCCGGCCAGCCGACCGCATTAAGAGGCGGCATCACTGTGTGTGCCCAGAAAGTCGCGATGCGAGTGCTTAAATATTAATTATGTTGCACAGTTTGCCCTTCAATCGGCTTTCGACTGCCATTTTGTATTATAAATTGCGTGCGTGATAAGCGGCAGCGAATTATTGTGTGTATTGTGCTGTAGTGTGCGATCATTTACGACTTGATTGATGATCTTGGGCCACAGTTGTTGCATGTCTGCCAATTTAAAAGGGCCAAGGGGCCAGCTAGCCGACAAATTGCTAAAAGCAACGCTTTTACGAACTGCTTCTAGTGCAGGATTCAATGTGTACATTGGTATATTATTTGCCTTTTCATTTTAAATTATTATCAAATAAAAAATTCGCAGAAGCTCATTTTTAAATTCTGCAAAATGTTCTTCTGTTTATTGTTTACAATTTTCTAGATATCGTGTAGGAAAGCTCGCAACAAATTCTTCGAAAATGTTTAAAATTTAACAAATTGTAACACTGGCTTAAAACTTTAAAAGCTTAACATTAAAAAATCTCAATTAATAAGATACAATATATGAGAAGAGCACAGAAGAGCTGAAACATTATTCTGCTAAAAATGTAAACAGTTTTCGAAAATTGCTAAACATTCTATCAAATTTCTTAAATACCTCAAATTTAGGGTCTTTTAATTGTTTGGCGAAACAACTTTTAATTTAATTATGATTAATATTAAAAAAGTATGATGCTGATAAATAATCTCAATTTACCAAGCCTATACTTTTGAACCTTCAAACTCTTTTGAATCGAATTTTTAATTGTAGTTTGTATTTATACAGACTTTACAGACATGTATTTCACAGCACGATATTGACTTTGTAACAACCATATATCAATAACTGGCCATATGGCACAATTGATACTCTAGCTTAGCCCATTGGCTTATATAGCTAAATCTGCTTTATCTTGCCCCGCACAATCAATATCCATAAACCACGCCAACCAAGCCAACACCAAACACAAATATTGACAGAAGTGGCTTAGCCACTACTTTCTGCACCACCGCTGCACCACCATATGCGCCTCATTCTACTCCGTTCTCTTCTGTTTATGCTGGCGCCTACTGGTATTACACTTTGACAGCTTTATGATGGGCCATCGATCACTAATGCGTAGAATGAGCCTCTAACTTCCTGATAACAGAGCTACACACTCCAAACCGCGCACAGATCACATAAATTTAATTCACCATAAAACTATCAATCATGAAGGGCACACAAGTCATGATGTGGAATGATGTTACAGTATCAGCGAATGATACGGAGCCACGCAGCATTAAAACTCTCAGATCATTCAGTCAAAACTAAGATGAACTAAAGAAAATTAATTGCTGATGAGAAGTTGAAGTCATTACAAAATACTGTGCAGTGATGGTAGCATTAATGTTGAACAACAAGCTTCCAAACATTAATCTACTATGGAAACAATGAAATGTTAATTAAATACAACTCTTACTATCTCTCTCTATCTCTCAATTCTTACTCCTTACTATCTTAATCATTCCCAACTAGAGATGGGCATCCTAACCAGAGAATTTTAATTATTGTTCAGAAAAGGTTGTCCTATTCGACAAAAGAATATTAATATATCGACGTTAATTTTTATTAAAAACAAGGTTTCTCTTAAATATAGAAAATATTTTGTTAATGAAGCAAAATAGAATGGGAAATTCCGAAGCCTAGGGAATTTTTTGTTAATTAAATATATATATATATATATAATTTATCAATTTCCGGTATGGTTTTTAATAAGGTTAATGGCGAAATGAAATGGTTTCTTTTATATCCAAATACAGACTTAACCCTACTACTTACGGGAATTATTCTTCTTCTAAGCATGATGGATTATATTTTCAAAAGCGTTTCTTAAGTTTTTACTGCTGGGAATTCAAATTGTAGGAACTGAAAGTCTTTTCAACGTACATTTTGTGATTTCTGGATCTTGGATAAATATTTATTAGAACCCAAAACATATTCATAACCTTTTAAATATCATTAACAGCATTTCGGGGAAGCTGGATAAGATTATTCACTATTAGAATTCCAAACATTATAAATGAAATAGGTAGGCCATCAAAGAATTGAACAAAATATTGTGAAATCATTATACTCTTGTATTACTCACGTATACAGAAAAATTTGGGGTCTTACAAGAAAATATTTAAAATATTAGAGTTATTAGAGTTGATCTTGTTTTCAAACTAAATAAATATATTTATGAGTAAGAAAATACATAATTTTACTACAATACAATTATATTGCTTCCTTTTAAGCCTTTAATCAGGATAAATTTAGAAAATGTAGTCCACATTTATTTCCCACAACCATTCCTCATATTGAAAGAATTTTCCACTTTGTAAGAATTGAAAACAAACATGTTCTGCTCATCCCCTATATACGAGTATAGTACTATAGTCTTGTGATCTTTCGCTGCAATGCCAAGTGATAACCCCGTGCTAATCAATTGCACAGACATGCCAAAATGTCAGCTAGACAGGGGGGAGAGGCGATGAAACGACGAAGGCGACAAAAGACAAGCGAGCGCCAAATTACTTTCAACAGTAAATCAAATGACTGTCGAGAATTTGCGAGCAATTTCAAAAATGTTGTGTGTACAAAAGACTGTTGACAGTTCTTAATTGCAAAGGATTTTCGTTTTTGCATCACGACGACTTTCACAAAAGTGAACTTGGTCGGTTGGTTGTTGTTTGGTCGCTTTTTGTTGCTGTTGTTGTTGTTGTTGCTGGTCTGGGCTCGCTGCTTGCTGCTTGTTGCTGTTGACGTTTTGTCTGTTTGCCAATTTATTTCGCTTCGACGATGAAACAGCAGCAGCAGCAGCAGCAGTGCGAAATGAAAAATCACAAAGTCAAGCTGACAGGCAGGCATTGTTCGGCGACAGCAACAACAGCAACAACAACAACAGCAACAGGGCTGGCAAAACTGTGAAAGGGGTGGAGTGATGGTGACACGAACTTTTTCTCTCGTCTGCAATTTTTTTGTCGACAAGCAAAAGGCAAGCGTTTTATTTTATTCAATTTTTTTCCTCCTGTTGTATTTCGTATTTTGCATTTCCTTTCCTGCTGCTGGGCGTTGATGACGTTGTTGAAAATACATCGTGCAAAGGAAAACTGGCAGCTAGTAAGACATTTGTGCACATCAGTCTTTTAATTGAGTCTCGACGAGCTATAGGAGCATCCCGACACGCTGACAACTGTCAAAATGATTTGCATACATACGAGTATATATGTATATATGTAGTCGGCCATATACAAAGACTACAAAGAAATCGAAACGCGCCCCAGCGCGCTGATAACTGTCAATATTTTGGCAACAGTCGAACTGACAGCTGTCAGCGAGCCTGAGCCGGAAGCAAATTTTGTAAAGTACTGCCAAGCCGCTGCAAAATATTGAAATTAATGTAGCCTCGCACGTACGAGCAGATATTAAAAATGTTGCCGCAAGCGAGCAGGCAGGCAGGGAACGAGGTAGGGTAGCGGAAAAAGTGTAAGACACAAGATAGGGGCACTGGCTCTTTGCCTCGCTTTGCAACACGTGAGACACTCGGCGTATGTTTATGTCGTCGCTGAGCCTGTCAAAATGTCAACATGTGCAAATAACGGTAAAGGATTTGTCACTGCCAACACACCGCTCCAAAATGAAAAGCGAAATCTGTCACAGTCACAGACAAATGAAAATAAATAACAAAAACAACAACAGCATTCACTTTGTAATTGTTTTTATCGCATACATTACTTTAGGTTTTTTTTTTTTTGTATTTACAATTTTGTTATTTTTCTGCAGTCATAATAAATTCAGATAAGTTAAAGCTCTGCACGTGATATTTCAGTAATGACTGTAAGCATTAAATGATAACGTGCGACCAGGAAACGTATGAAAGCTGCTTGAAAAGTGATGTTGATAAAAACTCGTTTTGGCCAGAATAGCAAGCGTAGGTACGTTTAGGGCTTATATGCAACAATGCATGTAAAATATTGGGTTGTTAGGTGTTCTTTAATTGAATGAACATTCAATTTGCACGACCTTCACTGAAAAGGTTTTCCTGGAATGAAGAACGGTTAGTTACGTTTCATATATACGATGAATCCAAATCATGTTACCTTATATCCATCTATCTATTTTTTACTGACAACTTATCATTAATGATTTGCTAGGATTTTTTGTACGAAATACTTTATTGTTTATAAAGATATTGGCCATGCTGTATTCATATCTCATGGTTTTGCATTTCTCTTAGATCGCGAAAGGTGTTTTTTTGTTTTTTATGAAGTTTTAGAAGAAGAAATTCAGATAATCTTATTTGTAAATGCATTAGTAATCCAAGAAAGGAGCTCGTAACATATATGAAAACTGTCTTCAATCAAAGTATTAAACATTGAATTCCTCGGGATAAACACTCAATTAGATTCTATATGTTGCTCAAGCATATAAAGATAAATGATTCAGTATTTAAAAAGATCACAAACCTATTTAAACTGCAGCAAAGAAAAATAACTCTAGAATGTACTTGGATTTCCTTGCTTATCATAAAGTGTTTTTAAATATGTAGTTGTATTCCAAGGTGCGTAAAATTTAGTGGTGAATGTACAAATTTTCTCAAATGAAGTTTTGCCAGACTTTTTATACATATCTTCCCAGCTTTCAGTTGTTAAAAGGTTCTTATCAGAATTAAAAAAACCACAGCTCGCTAGAAATATTGATCGTCCCATTGCGTAGCTGGATCGGGACAGTGACAGAAATAAAAGATAATACGTTACTAGTCAGAATAGTGCTTGAGTTGTATTTGAAATAGTGGTCGCAAGGCGAAACCGATATGATATGTACATAATTGTGATTAATTTGTCTTTAGAACTTGGAGGTCCGTACACATTTCTTGGTAGTTCCATTAACATGAACCAAAATCTGCTCTAGCGCAAGCGCCTTGCCTCACGCTCAGATTCGAGCAGCGTCAAGATGTCTCCTTCACGAACTGGCCCCTTGACGTTGCGAATGATCTGACGATTCTGTTCGCCAAGGAACTCCACCTTCACCTGTGTACATTGGCCCTGGGAGCCGGTACGACCAAGAACCTTAATGACGCGTGCATAAACGGGTTTGTCCATAGTTCTGAATAAATTTGGAAGATTTTCAAAGAAGAAGAAATGTATAAGACAGTACAAATTAGAAAAAAAATCAGAGCGTTATGAAGTTGGCTGTGTCCGGAAACGTAATGTTTTACAATTAATTTCAAGCTTGGGCAGAATATTAATTCCAGACCATTACCTTGAACACTTTTTGAAAAACAGTTAGCGATGTTTAGCGATGAACACAAAGTTTGAAATATTGTGCTCCAAATAAGCCGACTTTTCAAACTGAATTGCTCAATTTATTTAAAATACATATTGATGAGGAGAAAAGCCAAGGTAATTTGTTTATTGGAGTTTTATTCAAAACATTTAGTGAAACTTGATCAGGTAAATCTAATTGAGCTCAAATATTTTATTTTAAAACTGTTCATAGTTTAGTCATAAATGTGGCTTTATTTTACTTATCTTGTTTTCCCAAATCAGCGGTTTACAAAATAATCTTCTTGCTTCTAAAATACTTACAAAATGTTCGAAAATTATTAAAATTGTTTGATTGTTTATCTTAGATACTCTGGCATTTAAAATCATTTTTAGTAGTGCCTTAAAAGTTCTGAGTAAGAACAGCTATTAGCAAAAAAAAAAAAAAAATACAAATTTAAAAATATTTTTATAACAAGCTGAAATAATTTAAATATTAAATCAATTTGACTTATTTTCTAGTACTCGTACTATAGTAGAACAGCTTAGCAGCTCGTAATCTCAAAATCTTTCTCTTACGCTTAATGAAAACAAGTTGGAATAAAATTTGCCGGAAAAACAATTTATTTTGCGCAATGGTCACAGCACTTGGCACCAAATCAAACAATCACTTATACCAGCAAGTTATAGATATTATGGGCCATTGTTTGTCGTTGAAGTGCTTCTGTACTTTTATTAATTGCGTTCTGCCAACACTCGGCTACATCCAAGGCCCAAATCAATGCTAGATTGTCAGCCGAGCAGCTCGTTTATCATTTTGGATAAATTAAGCAACGTTTTTTTTTTCGAGTCGCAAAAGTTGCTTTTGTTTTAAGTGAAAATGCCTGTCAGCAGGCGCAGCAGCAGGGCTAGCCCCCGCCCCAGCCCAGACAAACTGCCTCGCTGAGTGACTGATTGACTGGCTGAGTGTTTGAATGATTAAATGAGCCCATGTTGCCAATGTGCGAGGAAAAACGCATGACTCATTTTGGTAGAACTCACGTAAACAACACGCAAAAACGTTTACTCTTATCAATCTTATCTGAATGTAATGACATTTAACATGCCAGAGTCGATGCCGACGTCGATTCCTGGTTCGAGGAGGCGGCTGTCTCAGTTTCAGGCTCTCCATCTATCTGTGTGCGTGCGTGCGTGTGTGTGTGAGGTGAAATTGATTTTCGAATTGCTGCCGTTTGACATTTTTGTTGCTACTGCACGCAAGGCAACATCAACAGACAACGACCGACAACAACAACAGCAGCAACAATAACAACTTATTGTGGCATTTTGTTCTCAATATCTGCTCTGTGGGCTCATACACTCAACGAAATAGTTGAAACACAAGTTTTTACTTTCCAAAAAATTCAATTTTTTTTTTCTACTCTACAGTTTAAACAGATCCCTAATTAACCCTAGTTAGAAAAGGGTATTTTGGCATAAAGAAAAGCTAACGATACGTCTGTTCTTCAATGGCTTTCTTTTATGGAAATGGGAAAACATTTGCATTATCTTAAAGCTGCTTTTAAGTATCTTAGTATAGGAATATTGTCATCTTTGTACAATTTTTGTCCAAAAGTGCATATAATAATAGATCCAATATAATAGATTCAATATAATAAGGAATTTTAATTTGCATTCTGTTCGTATGTCGATTTCACATCGCATAGGAACATTTAATAAATAAATAAATAAATAAATAAATTTGTATTAAAAACTAAGTATAAAGTAGTTACCTGTGGTCCCCATTTTAGACAGTCGTTGAATTTCTGAAGGACACTTGTTTTTTAAACAGGTTCTTCATTGGAACTGTTGGTCTTTTCTTCACCCATGCTGTTTAATATGTCAACAGATTTTTCATATACTTCTAGCGTGTTAAACACTTTTTGTCTGCAGAAATCAGTTACAAACCCATCAAAATGATATATTATTAAATATTATTACTATGAATTTGTCCAATGAAAATACTTTTACCCGCTGCAAAAACCGATAAGGAGATGTTCTTATCGGTAAGATAGGGAGAAAGGGAGTACAGCTAGCAGATGTATGTTATCGTATTATGGTGAAGAGTCTTTTTCCTACAGATACAAAAAGGTATTGAAAGGTTTTATTAATATTCAAGAGGATTCCTGAAAATTATACATTCTATAAAAATTATTGATATTTCTTTGCGATCTTATTTAAGTAAAATATTTTGTGGGCGAACTTCTTTATGATGAAGACCCTTAGCGTTTAATTATAGTACGATAGTCAAGAATGACATTTAAAAAAGAATTATTTTCTTTTTTAAGCCAAAAAAAAAACAACTATTTCATATTTCGATTCTCAATTCCTCACAAGATAACGAGCAAGCATTGCTATTAGTAATCCAAAATATACTGCCATTGATCTGAATTTAATTTTGAAATAATTCACGAACCCTTTTTGCCTCTACGAGTAGATTGTGAAAATAATTTCTCTATGTGTAGGGGTCCCCTACCCCATTCCAGTCCAGTGTTCGAGTGTATCGTGTTGTTGTGTTGTAATTTATGCGCTCGCTCGTTCATTTGACATGTCAGAAGTTGTGTCGCTTGATTGATGACGGCTGTCAACACATATTTTCTAATTTTTTTTTCCCAATATTTACTGCTTGTGGTTATGGTTATAGGCCATCATCATCACAAAAGGGTTCGAGAGCATGAGTTCTAAATTTTTGTTTGTTATATTTCGTGGTTTTTTGGGCTTGTCGCTCCTACTGCTGCAGAAACCCACTTTAATATTTTCCTTTTCACTTTTTTTTTTTTTTTTTGAAAACTTTTTATTTATTTATTCATTTTTTGGCAAACAAACCGAAGGTCCACAAAAACTCAGACCACAGCAACAGCACCACTACGTGAACATATTGCATTTTGTTTAGGCTGACACTAGATTGATGAGCTCAGCCCTACTGATGCCTGTCACATGGTTGGACGAGTGGGATTGAGATTGGGACTGGGAATAGTAATGGGAATGGGAATGTGAGTGTGAGTGTGAGTGCGAGTGCGAGCCTCATCGCTCTTGACAGCAACGCAAACAAATTGTGGCGACAGGAAGTGTTTGTGTGCATGGCCATGGATATGGCTATGGATATGGCGAGAGAGTTAAAGGTACTATACTTTTTGCTGGTGCGAATTGATTGATAGCTGCTGCAATGTGGCCTGACATTCTTGGACGGTATTCCAATGTATAGACGCACACATACATGGCTATATTGAATTAGTTATTGCAAGTTAGTTCGTGTGTGGCTCGAGCTGTGGCAGAGGCTGCTCCAAATGTGACACGCCTGTAATCAAGCACTCATACATCATGTTTTGCTTGATGGGTGATGGCCCGGACTGGTGTCATGGTGTCATAGCAAAATGCTTTTTCCTGCTACAGTTCCAAATACAAATGTACGAGTTCTGCTTTCCGGCAGTAGAAAAGCATTTATTTGAAGACTAAAATTAGAATATAGGAGGGAATGCGAAAAACACCATATTGTTTGTTTGTATATTCCTTTTCATATTGTTCAATCAAGTGGGACTAATTATTGAACCACAGATGGTTCCAAAGTCTTCGTATTCAAATTATATTCCAGTTTGATGAGCAAGTCTACAGCCATGAACTGTTGGATCTATGCCCTTACCATATTCCGTAAATTATACTATTTAAGTACAGAATTCATAAGAAATCTTTTAAATAAAGCAAGTAGAGAAAGACTATTTACACAATAATAAAGATATAAGGTACTATTACACCAAGTACACCAACAAAATTTTAATTAGACTACTTTTTATAATATTCAAGACAGATACAAAGCCCAATAGGATTTCTAAAAAAAAGTGTGCCAAATCAAAAATTCCCAATTAAGTGGCAATTGTAAACCTTCGCAATGAACATTAAGTTTACCCCCTACTTACTAAATTGAAGGATTATACATAATTAGTATCTATTGAGCATATTATGTCTTCTATGTTACTGATACATAATCAGCGTTAAATAAACTCTCTCTTTTAATAAGCAAATGGGTTTGTTGCGAGAAATTAATAATTGTAGTGGTTTCGTCGTTTATAAATTGCATAATTATAAGGGCCATTTATCAGGACTGCTTTCATTTAACCCCGATACCAGCTAATCATGATAATATTTATATACATATCACAGCCAATTAAAGTGCCCCAATATGGTAGCTAATAAATATTCACGATGAACCAACTAACTAACATGCAAACCACAATTAACCAACCAAATAAAGGACACACCCCACAAATCTCTCTTTCTCGCTATCAACACCAACAACAACACCAACAACAACAGTGCAACACTTGCAGCAATCAATTTCTCGGATTGTAAATTAACAACTGAGTCGGCAGAGTCGAGAGAGGTTGTCGGCTTAGAGTTGTGCCAGAGGAGGAGAAAGAGGATGAGGAGAAGTGGAAGGGGGCTGGCTTTAGCGGCAGCTGCTAACTGCCACGCCGATGCCCCCAAACCGCCGCGCCAGACCCGCAATCAACGCACATTAATATGCACGAAAACAATAAACAATGCAGAGCTGTCGGTTTGGGGACCAAAGGCCGGCCAGCGTTCGAGGCGGAGGCAGAGGCGTAACAGCGGCAATCATACAAAGAGCGGCAGCTTCAGCAGCAGCAGCTCCAAGGGGGACATCGGCATCTCTCTTTCCCGTCGCGCTCTCCCACACACACACAGACAGACACACACACACAAAGCACACACTTAACTCCGCCGCTCTCAACTCAACTGACAATATTTATTGCAAATGCAGCAATAAATTTCAAAACACCATTCGCTAAGCACCACATGGGGTCTCGAAAATTGAAGATAAATTTTAAGGCGGCAATTTATGATTTGTGAGCATAAGCGTGAGTCTCTATCTGTGTATCTGTATGGCTGTGTGTCTCTGTGTCCGTGTGTCCGTGTGCCCGTGTC